CTTTTTCCTTTTCCTCTTGTTTTTCTCCTCCTTCTCCCCCATGCTTTGTTCACTTCCTCTTCCGTTCCTCCTTCTCAGGGTCTCACTGAGTTGTCCAGGCTGACCTGAAACTTGTCATCCTCTTGCCTCGGCTTCCCTGGAGTTCTGGGATTATAGGCATGTGCCCCCATACCCGGCTCTAGTTCTTTTCTTTCCAGATAATTTTTTCTTCTGTATTTTTTTCTTCCTGTCATTCTAGAGGTTGACCTTACCTCTGTCTCTCCATCTCTTAAAGGAACATCCCAGATCTTTCCAAAATATAACCTCAGTAGAATTTAGAAGAAAATGAACTTGTACTGAAAATGTGTCTCAATATTCCAGAAAATAGATGTGACGTAGAATCAAGGCATCAAGTTCATTGTGAATTTCTTGTGACTTTCCTTTGGTTTTGACTAACTATCCATCGTGTGCGCTAGATCCAGTTTTGAATTTAGTATCATTGTATGGAGTTCAATGAAGAAGAGGGATAATCGAGGTCAAAACTGCTACATACAGGGCCGAGTAGATGGCTCAGTAGAATAAGCCCTTCCCTGGCGAGCGCAAGGATCTGAGTTCAATCCGTGGTTCTGCCAAAAAAAAGTAAAAAAAAAAACCCTGCTATATAATTAAGTCCTAGTTTTTTTTCCTCCTACCTAAAATGGAAATGTAAAACTGTACTTCTTTAATATTGAAATTAATCCAAATTTTGATAAGTCTATAGCAAGTATTTAAGGGAGATAATTTAATGCATAATCCCTGCTGAGCACTCATTAACCGTAAGGCTGTCTATTCAAGTGGGCAAAATTTGTATTTGAATCAGGGGTGCCTCTCTGGAAATATTTTGGCTTCATTCAACACATTAAAAAGAAGAGAGAAAGAGAAAAACAAATTGACTGTGCAAATCTGCTTTGTAAGAGGGAAGCATTTATTGTAAGCAGTAAATCTAGAAATCTAGCTCACACACCCACAAGTCCTCAGGGCAGGCGGGGTCGATGCTTAGGTGCTGACAGATTTCATGAGGCTTACTTCATGTTACGAAGTAAATGGTTCCTGTTTTAAACTCTGCATTAAAATTTCAAGACAGAAAGAAATTAGGGTAAGTTGAGGGATAAATCATATAAAAGTTAAGATGGCTGGATGTGGTAGCCCGCGCCGCTGCTCTCAGCTACTCCAGAGGTTGAGGCTGGAGGATCAAGGTTCAGGGTCAACCTGCTCAATTTGGCAAGACTCTGTCTCAAAATAAAATTTTGTATTTATTTATCTGTTTGGTTTTTGAGACAGAGTCTCACTGTGTATTCCAGGCTGGCTTTGAAATTACTATGTGGCCTGGGCTGGCCTCAAACTCTTGATGATCCTCCAGCTCCAGCTTCCTAAGTGCTGGTATTACAGGTGTGCACCACCATGCTCGGCTTCCAAATAAAATTGTGAAGCAGGTTCGGAGTGTAGCACAGTGGTTGAGCACTTGCCTACCCTCCTTGAGGCCCTTGGGTTCCACGCTAAGTAGTGAAAAATAAAAGTTCAGCATCATGGGCTGTTCGGCATCGTGTGTGTTTTATGATTTCCAAGAACTAATTTTTGCGTTCATCAGCATAAGCTTTTGGCAAAACATGCAAATAAGCCACAAGAAAAATTAACAGCTCATAAAATGCTTTACTTGCCTGTCATTCTCTCTGGTGGTAAATAAGGAAGAAAAATCCCTAATCTTTTCCCACCTTCTGGCTGAAATAGTTCACATTTCTAGGCAAGGGGATGGCACACATTTGCGAAGCAGAGTTAAGGACAGATGCTGCACCACGGATAGCGCCTGTCGCTTAGAACTCGCAGTTGGTGTATCGGAGGGTCCCTCCTTTATCTTCAGGGCAATAAAAACAGTAAAAAATAAAGGCGTAGAGGCTGGGGAGATGGCTTAGTAGAATAAGTGCTTTCCTGGCAAGCATAAGGGCCTGAGTTCAATCCCTGGTTCCGCCAAAAATAAAAATAAAAATAAATAAAGGTGCACTTTGCCCTTGTGCAGTCACCATTTTTATCATTTTTGACCAGTGCCCACTCCTGCTTCTACCCTCACATTGTCCCAGGCTCCAGTCTTCAATATTTATTTATTTACTCTGTATATTTAATATTTAACAATCTGTATCCTATAAATAATAGATGTGCCCGTCTTCACAACTGCACATCAGCAGCAGATTTTATTGTTGACAAGAGTGATGACGTTCTCTCACCTTCTTAACTTTTTATGTTACTGTTAATTTTCCCGTGGTGGCTAAGAGCCCTGGGAGGGGTTTGGGATGTTCTGGAGAGAAACGTGCTGCAATTATCCAGTTGGAGCGGAGCACCAGGGAGGCTTGGATGACGCCATGAACGACCGTGCAGGCAGTTGGAGGTCACAGACTCCTGTGGCGCTGGAACCATCTCTGCCTTCCCAGTTGGGTGAGGTCACCAGAAATTTCTACCTGCCTCCCAAGGGCTGGGCTGAGGCCCTACTATGCTCAGAGAAGAACCAGAGGGACAGATGTCTGTGAAGGGACCCTGCCAAAGTCACCCTGCTAATTCTTGGCAGAGCAGGTGAGATTCAATTTAATTGAATAAATGATTGGAAAACATTAAGAAGTGGAGTCTTGGCTGTCAGAAAATTGAGGACAGCTGGGCAGGATGGCGCACGCTGGTGCTACCTGGGACGTTGAGGCAGGAGGAGTGAGAGGGTCGTGTCCAGCCTGGACCTCTTATTTAGCAAGAGCTTCCCCCTCCATTTAAAAAAATAAAATAAAATTTAGATTGTATGACTTTTCTTGCTGAAAATTTTTACAAATGGACTTCTCTATCATTTATAATAAAGTCCAAACTCCTTACCAGGATTAAGAAGTCTGATTCTTGGGGCTAGTGAGGTAGTTCAGTAGGCTAAAGTGCCTGCTGAGGCAAGCTTCGGCATAGTGGGGGACAGCGGTTGGATTGGTTCCTGCCAGCCCTGCCCCCAGGGTGGGCTGAGCCTGCCAGAGTCCAGGTGTGGTGGCACATGCCTGTAATCCCAGCACTTGGGAGGTGCAGGCAGGAGGATTGCCACTGGTTTGAGGCCAGCCTGTGCTACGTAGTGAGACCCTGCCTCAAAAAAACCAAACAAAAATAATAAAGTAAAATGAAAAGGAACTGAATGGCTAGGCAGAGAGACAGCTTCTGCAGTACACAGGGGAAAGAGGGGAGAACACGATGGCCCTGTCTTTTGTTCTTGCATTTTCAGAGCACTGTTGACAGGTGTTGTTTGATTTTCACGACAACTCATGTGATGCTGCAACAGCTATGATTTTTTTCCACGAGGAAACCAGAGCTCATAGAAGCCAAAAAGCCTTGCCCAATTTTACCGTGTCACCCCGGCAGGAGTGGAACCCAGGCCTGGCCATCGCCCCGGCACCTTTTGTAGGAGGCTCCGAAATTGCAGAGTCAAGCTGGAAACCACAGTGGAGGCGGCGGAGGAGATTCTGCTGATCCCATGGTACCGGTGGCCAAGTAGGAGTTTGGAAACAAGCTCCCTCGCCTTCCCTCCCCGGTTTCCTTTTCCCTCTTGTGCAATTTAACTGCTGACAATGCGATGGTTTAGAGCATTAGGCTCCATAGTGGCTTCAGCCTGTTGTCGGGAACAAGGCAGGAGGATCCCAGATCTTGTTAAAGAACTCTCTGTAGCGTTTAATTGTGTCTGTGGGGAGGCCTGGCTGGGGGAGGTGAGACTGGGGTCCGGGTGTGCACCGAGGAGGGGCTCACATCCAGGCCCCTTTGCTGTCTCCGGGGCTGGGCTGCCCTCCTCCAGTCCAGCTCTGGCCTCAGGTGCTCCCAAAGCCTGCTGTGGGGTGTGGGGTGTGCTAGGAGGATAAACCCAGCCTCTGGGAGCCCCCGGGCCATTCATTTACTTTATTTTCTTTTGGTTTTTGACTTTTTGAGGCAGTTTCTCTGTGTAGCCCAGGCTGGCGTGCACCTCACAAGGATCCTCCTGCCCCAGTTTCTTGAGTGCTAGGGCTACAGGCATGCTCCACTAGGGCCAACTCACCTCCATTATCGCTAGGAATGGGCAGAGGCGCTTGGCTCCCCATCCTGTGCCAGGAGTGGACTCAGTTTACCCCAGTGACTAAAACGCCGGGATGAAGTCATTCTCTTCCCCTTGCCAGGACTGTCACCAGAGAAAGTGGCCTCTGGGGAATGATGAAGAAAATGAGGGGATTCTTTCCCTGCCCTTGATACTGAGGCCGGCAGCTTCTCTTTCCCACCCAGGGTGTGGTTTCCATCCCTGGCAGGTGGGGACAGCCCGGCCACCTGTTCCCTGCAGACCAGTGGGCAGACGTGCTGTACTAAGTCAATGTGGGCTCGGCACCCGCTGCTCGAGCTGGTCTGCTGTAGAAAGTAAGACGGACCAACGGCGTGGCGGACAGTCGCCTTAGCCGCCTGGGCCACCACATTAGGGACTGTGAGGAGGGACCCTGTGTGCTTCGCAGCACGTTTGTATGCAGCAGCGCTCCTTAAGTGGACATCTGGGTGGCGGCAAGACTCAAACTTTTACTACCCAGACGGAAAAGGCCTGCGTTTTATGCATGGGGAAACGCCAGGGCTCTCCTTGCGGGCTTTCCCGGGTTTCCTATTTAGAAAGAAACCTCCATGATCGTCAAAAGACGCCACGCCAAAACAACAGTTGGTTTTATCGCAGTCACACAAACACTGAAAGAGCCAGCCTCGGATCTGAAGAGTGTTTAAAAAACAACAACACTTGGCAACTGTGGCGCCGTTTCTCTCTGCGCAAACGGCGGGAGACGAGAAGGGTCCGCAGGTGACTCGTGGGTCGGGCTGCCACGGAGCCACGCGTCCACGGGATCCCCTCTGCAGTATGCGTGCGTGCTAAATAAAAAGGGTTCACCTGAACATGCACGAAGCTCCCCCAGGTGCCGAGAAGAGAACGCACAAGGCAAGTTTCTTCTGCGCCACACTCCAACTTCCGGGTTGTTTACCTGTCCCGAAGGTACCAGGAGGAGAAAGGGCGGCTGGCAGGAGTCTGAACATCGACTGGAGTCCTGAGCGCCAGCGCGAGGCAGGGCTACGGCCACAGCCGACGAGCTGCCAGGCTCCTCTCCTGGGGCTTCTGGTCGGCGGGGCTGCAGCGGGGACCCCAGTTTCCGGGTATGCGACCTAAAAGGCGACGCACCAGAAAGGATGTGCCTGACCCTACTTCGCTCTTTTTTAATTTTTTAAATTTATTTATTTGTTACAGGTTCTCACTACGCAGCTCGGACTTATAGTGATCCTCCTGTCTCAGTCTCCCCGGTGCTGGGATTACAGGCGTGCACCACCACGCTCAATTTGGGGACGGCACTGCACACCCGGGATTCCAGGGCTGGCACGGGATGCGGTACCCGGGATCAAACTCGAGTCCTTGTGCTTGCCAGGCAGGCTTGTAGACCGCAGAGCTATCTCTCCAGCCCCTATTTTGCTCTTTATGTTCAAGCCCCACCTCCCAACCCTGTGCCAGGAATTGACTCAGTTTACCCCTAAAGGAGAGAGAGAGAGAGAGAAGCTACATCCCCTGCCCAAAATAATTAAATGCCATTTGAAGGGAAACTCATATGATGTGAGATCTCTTTTTTTTTTTTTTCCTGAATCAGTAGAAATAATTCTCAGATGCTAAGGAGAGAAGAGTTTTAAACTTTTAATTTTATTATTACTCCATGACTATGTGCTATTTAAAAATTTATTATTGAGCAATATTTTTCTTATCTATTTTTCAGATTGTTATTTGTACTCAGATAATGCTAACTGAATAACAATAATTTTAAAAAACAAGATTGCTGCTTTTATTTATTTTGTGGTACCGGGGCTTGAACTCAGGACCAAGCACTTGCTGGGCAAGTGCTTATTCTACTAAGCTATCTCCCTGACCTGAGAATTGCTGCTTTTAAAAACAGTACATTTTTAGCCAGGTGTAGTGGCACAGGGCTAAAATCCCAGCACTTGGGAGGCTGAGGCAGGAGGATCACCATGAGTTCAAGGCCATTGGCTACATAATGGGTTCAAGACCAGGCTGAGCTACTTAGTGAGTCCTTGTTTCAGAATCTCTTTTTAAAGTTTAAAAAAATAGGTAGTGTATACCTGTTTAAAGGGATATCCACTTCTGCTGCATCTGATTTCCTAGCATCCTTCTGGTATTTATGGAACTGACCACACTAAGCACAACAGCAGAAAACCCTGAGGTCAACCAGTCCCTTGGCACCACGGCCTCTGATGGTCTCTGGCAGCCCGGACTCTGATGATCAGGGTGACAGGGCTGTTTTGGTGTTTTCTGGTTCCCTTTAGAAGCTGCTGGCTAACAACTTATTAATGGGGCACCAGGTTCCGTCTCAGTCCAGGGATGGCAGGATGAATAGAAAGCACACTTAAAAAAAAAAAAAAAAAAAAGCCAGGGTCTCTCGGTGCAGTTCAGGTCTGGCTTTGATCTTACTATGTAGCCCAAGCTGATCTCAAATTCATGGCAGTCCTCCTGCCTGGGCTCTGCACCTCCTTTGTCACCTGTCTCCCACTTTCCCCTTGGCCGCCCCATCTCTTCCTGAAACAGTGTCACCTCCAGGTCTTGGACAGGCTGAGGATGCCAGAGCAGTTGTCTGTCATACCACACCTGCCAGTGACAGTTGAAATCCTTCCGATTTCCACCCAGCAAGTCTCCTGCATTCTTCTTTGCTTCTTTTCTCTCTCTTAAATGTATTTGGTATAGGGTCTCACTGTGCAACTCAGGCGCTTTCAGCCTCCCCAGTGCTGCAGTTACAGGCATGTACTACCATGCCAGGTCTGGTCTTGGTGGCCAGCTCAGTGCCCCCAGGGTGCAGGGCTGGCGCAGCATGTGGTATCAGGGATCGAACCCTGGTCTCTGCGCTTGACTAAGCAGGCTCTTAGTCGGCTAAGCTATCTTGCTGGCCCTTCCTCAGGTGCTTTGATCTTTTCTCAAACACTCCAATGGTTGCCTTTTCCCGTTGTTCCCCGTGAAACTGCTTTTGAAACTGGAAATCCTGCCCCTCACTCTGTTCTCCTATTCTCTTTCCCTGCCTTTTAAAAAAATGTATGTATTTGGTACAGGGTCTCACTATGCCTCCCCAGAGCTGGGATTACAGGCGTGCGCCCCATGCCTGGTTGTGGGGCTGGCACAGCACATGGTATTGGGGATCAAATCCAGGTCATTGCGCTTGCCAGTTAGGTGCTTAGACGCTGAGCTATCTCCCCGGCCCTCTCCGCCTTGTTTTTATTTCCCATGACAATTACTGCTGTCTGATTTGTGTGCTTTTTTTTTGTTGCTACCAGGAGTCAAACTCAGGACCTTGCGCTTGCGAGGCTGGCGCTCTGTCACTGAGCTGTATCTGACCCATGCATTTAAAAATGTTATTATCTGCCGCTCTGGGCACGTGAAAGCCCACTGGGGCAGGGGCTTGTCTGGGTCTGGCCCAGGGCTGGCCATGAAGACAATGCCTAGGAGGTCCTCCTCGTGGTTGGTTTGGCGTTGGCACTGGTACCATCTCCGTTTGTCTCAGGAGGTTCGGGTAAGCCTTAGGGCTGGGCAGCTTTACGAAGCCCTGCTCGTTCTGTTCCCCCCTGCCTTCCTGTGCCACCAACACACAGGCATGTCACCCATGCCTCTGCTTCAGAAGCTAATGGCTTTCCCTTTTTTGTTTTGAGACATGGTCTTGCTATGCAATTCAGGTGGGCCTTCAGCTCACTGTGGAGCCCAGGATAGCCTCAAACTTGGAGCCCAGGCTGGCCTCGAACTTGCAGCAATCCTTTGCAGCTAATCTTTTTTGAGATTAAATCTTTTGTTTGTTTGTTTTGCAGTCCTGGGAGCTGAACTGGGAGACTGCATGCTAGGCAAACACTCTACTATTGAGCTATGTCCCCAGGCCAATTAAATAATTAAGTATTATGTATGGGGAAAATCGCACAGGATGTGCCATCAAATTTTTTTTTTATTTCCCAGTTATGGGAGGCAATAATTCTCAGAAGCTAAGGAGAGAGGGCACTTATTTATTTTTATTTATTTATTTTTTTGAGAAAAAGTCTCGATATGTATGTAGCCCAGGCTAGCCTCGAAGCAGTTTTCCTGCCTGGGCTTCCCGAGTGCTGGGATTCCAAGTGTGCGCTACCTTGTTCAGCTGAGAGGGGATTTAAACTTTTACTGTGTTATTATTTATTATTCAATCACTTTGTGCTATTACTTAAATTATGTACCATTGACCAATATTTTCTTTTTCTTCTAGAAATTTAAATGTACTCAGAAGGTAACATTATTTCAATAATGATTATTAGGACTGCTGCCTTAAAAAAAAATATACATTTTTAGGCCAGCCAAATAGATCAGCGGATCGGATTAAAGCGCCTATAATCAGGTGCAGGGGCGGGGGGGGGGGTTAATCCCTGGGCCTGCCATGCTGGCCCCACCCCTGGGGTGCGCTGAGACAGCCATTGAGACTGGGTGTGGTGGTGCGCTCCTGTAATCCTAGCTCTTGGGAGGCTGTAAACAGGTGGATAACTATGAGTTCAATCTAGTAGTGAGACCCTGAACGTCCTGTAGACCCTCCCCCCCCAATTTTTTTTTAAACGGGTGTTGTGCAGTGAGATAGCTCAGTGGACTAAAAGCCTACTTAGACAAGCACAGGAATCAGGGTTTGATCCTGGCAGCATGCCAAGATGGGGCATGGTGGCACAGGCCTGTAATCCCAGTGTGGGGAGGCTGCAAACAGGAGGATCACTACGAGTCTGAGCTACATAGTGAGACCTTGTATCAAATACATAATAAATAAATAAATAGGTAGTATATACATGTTTTAAAACTCTAATCTGGTAGTGTGGGGTCATCTGCAGTGTCACTGTCCTATCTCTGTCTCTAGGTTCCTCTGGGTCATTTTATTTTTATTTATTTATTTATTTTTAATTTTGAGACAGGGTCTCACTGAGTTACTAAATTGCCCAGGCTGGGCTTGAACTTGTAATCCCCCTACCTCAGCCTCCTAGAATGCTGGAATTATAGGTGAGTGTCCTCACACTAGGATTTCTTTTTTTTGAGCCCACCTTGTTCTGCACCTGATTTTTTCACATTCTTCTGCATCTTGGCAGTTGTTCCGGGTCAGCTCACGGGTGTGCAGACTTGTCCAACTTCAGGCGCATAACCAGCGTCCTTTGGGCTTTTTCACCAAGCAATTGGGAGGAGAGAGCGCCTAAGCTGCGGCAAGGGTGGCGTCGTGTCTGCGAGACCTGTTTCATCCATGGGTCGTGCCAACGCCCCAATCTGCTTCTTAATGTACTTCTGCAGATTTTAATGCAAAATCATGTGTTAAAACAGATGCTTTAAGCAGATGCACCTGGTGTATATCGAGACCTCCCCCCCTTCTGCAGACTTGTGTGTCCCAGTTTAGAAAGGGCAGGTGTATGCCTGCGATCCCAGCACTAGGGAGGCTGAGGCAAGAGGACTGCAGCGGTTTGAGGCCAGCCTGGGCTATGTAGTGAGTTCAAGGCCAGCCTGAACAGCATAGTGAGACTGTCTAACAAAAGGAAAAGAAAACCCAAACCAAAAAGTGGACATGTAGACGGCACTGTGAGTCACCCAGAGGTGTTGGAGGAAGGCAGGACAAGATTCTCGGCACCTCCCAAGGACAGAGGTGCTGGCATTCCACCACATCAAGCGCCTCTCATGGTGCAGATCGTGCGGATCGGATGGGAGTGGCACTGGTCCCCGTGCTCCGTGCTGTGTCCCGATGACTTGTCCCTGCTTCTGAATGTATGGACCAGAAGTGCCCCAGCCACCTGCCCAAACCATGAAGGTAGAAATCCCTATTATAGGGGACAAACCACAGCAAGGTGTACTTGCAGGGGACATTTGTGCTTCACCTTCTGCCAGTGTGAAAGGCCTGGAACTGTAGTGTTCATTGACAAGGCTGGGAATGGCACCTTTGGGAGCAGCAGGGGAACTCAGAGCACTTTTTTTTTTAATTTTGAGACAGCACCTGGCCAAGTCATTAAGTTGCTCAGGTTGGGCTCAACTTTGCCATCCTCCTGCCTTGGGCTTCCAGGATGAAGGATTACATGTGTTTCCTGTTTTTTTTTTTTTTTTTTTTTTTTTTTTTTTTTTTTGCTGATCAAAGGATTGAATTTAGGTC